TGGGGGGTGTTGGCGCTGTCGACCTGCACACTGCTATTCAAATCCTAGTAAGGATCACCGAACAGATCCAACTCGATGTCCATTTCTAAAGCTATATCCCCGGTTTCAGGAGCCCCTCTCTCAATATTGCTGGCCTCTTCTATTTGTTGCGGCTGCACGTGGACGGTATTGGAAAGAGTACATCTGGGCTTATCAGTTCCAGATAGCCGAAACGTCAGTTCCATAGGAGCGTTATATATCATATTGTCCTCTTGTATTTGTCTTTCCCCATCTCGTCGAGGTGAATGTGGTCCAAAGACATTCGACCAGGCATGTGCGCTCTTTTTCAGTTCTGGAGGGACTTGGACAAGTTCGTATCTAGCATTGATGCAGGTTGCTGCCGAGTCACCTTCAAATGGTAGTGGTATTGTCGGTTTCTTTGGTCGCTGCTGCTTCTCTTGAGCACTCTTGATGTGCCGCACGAACGCGTCTTTACGAGAAAATAGTTTGTTGCAATTTGAACATTTGAATTGTACGCTCGCGTGTCCTCGCATGTGTCGCTGCAAGTCGTGTCGCCGGTGAAAGGACGCCGTACAGCGGTCGTGACTTGTGGAAAGGTCGAGTGGCGAGGTGACAGATGAAGGTGGATTGGTGGAGGAAGAAGACGGGAGGAGAGGATAGTTGCATTTATAGGGCCGGTCGTCGGTGTGGGTTCGGAGGTGCGTCTTGAGATCGTAACCGCGCGTAAAAGTCTTGAGACAGTTGCGGTATGTACAGGAGTGTATTGTAGCTTGTTTATTTGGACGCTTTCTAGCAGATTGTTGACCCCTTGTATTGCCCCCTTGCTCTCCATTTTCGTCGTGGGAGTCATGGGGAAGCTGTACTATGGATGGAGATGTAGTAATGTGTCGTTCTGCTTCTTCATCAATGGTCACATTGAGCGTGTTGGTCACGTCTCCCACGGAGATTTGTACGCCAGAGAGGACACCCAAGAGTTGGATTAGCTTGCTGAGCTGGTTCAGGATCTTGCGCTTATCAAGTCGTGTGGCATCGTCCCCTAATATTCGGCTTTAGCCACATATTTGGCTGGGCGGTTTGTGCAGTGCTTACCTGGAGTGACATCTTGAAGCCAGGGTGAAGATACTGCGAATAAAAAGATTTGATGCAGTTGAACTTGCAGAGAGCCAATCTGGGCTTTATCTATCCTGTTATTCTGCAACGCCTCGAGAGTTTGTAGTATTGCTTGATGAATATCTCGAGCTGGATCTTGTGACGAGTTTGAGGCAAGATGTGGGGTTAGGGTCAAAGGTGTAATGATTGACTCAAGAATGGGCTCCTGGCTTGTAGTTTGAGACTCGTATATATCCTCAAAAACGCTCCTCTTCCTCTTTTTTGAGCCTCCACCTCCAGGCATCGAAAGGGTTGGAGAAGAGCTCACCGCGTCTGCCTCTAAATCGATGACCATAAGTGATACGTCATGAAGGCTCGTCTCTGGTTCGTGTTGTCGAATAGTGTCATAGCTTTGACTTGGGATACCGCTGATCAGGCGTCGTTGTACAATATCCTCTAGGATGTTTGCTACCTTGCCTTGCAGTTCATGATCAACAAATGTTTGTTCAATCGCATCAGTAATCATTTCCAAATCTGGTCTTGGCACTGGGATGCGGCCTCCATGTTGCAGAGTCTTCTGAAGTAGGGATAAAAGGCCAACGTTGTTCGCCTCTGGTATCTGATAGCTATCAAGAATATGGTGGACACTAGGGGATTCTTTCGAGCGATACGATATCTCCTTTATGAGCTCGCAAATTCGTTCATAGTCCTCCGTCTCTTCATTGTCCCAATGACCATCATACTGGGTGTTAGGTCGAAACAATGAACGATTCGAATCCATTTATTGAGATTTCGAACACTCAAATTGATGTATATGTGAACCCAATCGACCCTAATGACCAGGAATTAGGCGTGTGTTGCCTACACTCTTAGTATTGGCGCGCTGCCGACACAGAAAACATACCTACTTCGAAACCAACAACAAGAACCTCAGGAATATCTATTCGTGTGTAACTTTGGTAAAGGTGAGAGGTTATACAGCCAGAGAATTGTGAGCCAAAAAACCTTGTCAACTCGGGTCCTTCAAAAGATTGCGACTGTTTGAGTTTTCAAATGTATTGTATGATCTCATAAATGTACGCCAAATAGACGATATGATATGATCAACGGCTGTGGTGGATGGAAACAAGAAGTCGAGATGACATGTTTATAATTGCTCAAATTCTTCATAGCTCTCTATGTTATGTCCTATTCTGGTTCCCTCCACTCCAAACGATTTTATGCCAATTTCGACGCAAAATAATTCTTACTACCCAAGATCTCGGCAAGCTCCTTATACTCAGCCCACCACACATTCTCGCCCCGCCTATTCTTCATATCCGCATGCTCCACCAGATCCTGAACTTGAGTGAAATTAACACTCGACCCGGTGATGGTAATGACAGCCGCACTCGACTTCTTGGGCTTGCGTCCCTTTTCTGGTTGCGCTTTAAGTGCCCAAGCGTGCTCTTCAATAAAGTTCATGCACTTGAGAGACAAGCGGGCTGCCCGAGCTCGGTCCATGGGCGATGGGATCCCACCTTGGAGGGTATGGCCCAAGGAGGCAGACCGTGCATCAAACAATGAGCCTCCCTCCTCCTTTAATACATTCGTGATGATGTCAAGAGTGAAGACGGAGGACGCCTTCTCGCTCCTGATCCGGACAGTCAGCATACAGTTGGAAGAAAGAATTTCTACAAGACGTACTTGAGCACCAATCGTCCTTCTGCCTTTCCTTTCTCATCTAATTCATAACGCCTCTTGAGGAACTTGATGTCACTCCTAAGGGCATTGAGATTCATTCCGACTTCTGGGCTATATACGAGCACTGCTCCGGTCTGAACGTCAATTAAAGAGTAAGTACCTAGACAGCAACTGGAAGAGAAGGAACGTACTGCCAAGGCACCCATAACAGCAATATATCCACACATACCACCCTGTGTTTCTACAATGAAAACTCGGTTCCGGCTGGCCGACGCACTTTGCTTGATCGAGTCGCAAGCATCCACTAATGCATTCAAACTGGTATCACTTCCGAGACTGAACTCTGTCAGAGGGACATTGTTCGAGAGGGTAGCGGGGAGGTGGACCATGGGTATATAGAATTGGGGATAATGCTTTCTGGCTTCCTCCAGAGTCAACAAAGCAGAAAAGGCCTCGAATCCACCAATCATGAATAGACCGTCAATACCATGTTTCTGGAACTTGGAGGCAATTGCTCCCAAGTCTTCCTTGGGGAGGAACCGATTCGTGCCCAGTTCGGAACCACCACGAGTCATCCAGCTGTCTACTTTGAGCCAGGATAAGGGGTAAATGCTGTCATCCAATAAACCCTTGAAGCCGTTCTGGACAGCGAGGGGTGTATGGCCGTGTGCGAGACAATAACGGGCTGCTGTTCGTGTTGCGGCATTCATTCCGCCAGCAGGGGCTCCAATGCTGCGAATAGTGGATTAGAGGTTGCTTTCGGATTTAGCCACAATAGAATACATACTGCATAATCGCAATTCTCAAGTGCTATGGATAGAGGTTGAATGATTGGATCAAGATTCTTTTGGTATTAGAATGCTCACCTTTTCCTTTGGAAGCATGTGCTTTGGATCCAACGAGGAAACGGTAAGGAATCCTTGGAACGACTCTTTGAATTCTGGGTCGCGAAGGTCGGTGGCCTTGACAAAGTCCTTGTTGCCTATAGCCGTAGCGACAGCTTGTGTCTGTAAAAGGTTGTATAAGAAGATTGTATACAACTATGAATCAGGTCTGACCTGCTGAACGGCCTCGACCAAGGGCACGCGACTAATCTTGTTTTCATTGATTCCGATCATATACGACGGCGTGTCGGGTGTAGATTCTAGAAGCGCATTGACAGCTTCGACTCCTTGTAAAGTTGGCTACCAACATGCTCGTCATTTCCAGGTATGACTGCTTTGAGCAAAACGCACCAAAATCCGATCAAATGCACAGGGTCTCCCTCCTCGTTGAGTGTGTCCAAGAGTGGTAACTCTAGTATCCAATTGTAACTTGTTGCGTAAAATATCTTTAACATAGTCTGGTTTGATCGGGTTGAGGTTCTTGTCGTGGGCTCCTTCAGCAATAATGACCAAAGTTTTTCTTTTTCCTACTTCACGATGCTATACTCCATGTAAATCAACTGAGTGAGAAGGCGGACGGGGTTGACGTACTCGTTTGATCACCTCGCACATTTCTTCCTCCCAGTCGTCGCTAGTAGGTGGGCATTCTGGAATAAAAACAAAATCTGCACCTCCACTACATTCACCTTCATATTCAGAAAAAAACTGCTGAAGACGGAAAGCGGAAAAGCGAAGGAGTGGAACCCACCTGACGCCTGCCATCAATGCCAGCCAACCACAATGACGACCCATGACCTCGATAACGAAAGCTCGAGAGTGAGAACTGGCGGTGGAACTAATGTTGTCCATCGACTCGCATATACGGTGCAAGGCGGTCGGTGCTCCAATGGTCAAGTCTGTCATGGCCATATCGTTGTCGATAGACCCAACGAGTCCAACGATAACAAGGTGTTGATAAGTATTTGCTTGTTCTTCTGTTATGTTACCTATACAAAAGTCTCAGCGATACGTTAGAAAAGATTGGGAGGTGTCATACCGCTCTGACGAAGGCTCTGTACGAGTTCTGGCCATTCTGCTCTCAATTTATCAGCACCAGTTAAACTACCGTCTCCTCCACAGACGACGAGGGCGTTGATTCCTTCCTTGATGAGGTTGAGCGTTGCCTTTGTCCTTCCCTCGATCGTCCTGAAAGCGGCACAGCGAGCAGTACCAATAATAGTACCTCCCTATATTTAAATGGTGTTATATTTAGAAAGACCCAAGTCAGTTCTGACGAAAAGTGGTACAGTAAAAATATGCGACGTACCTCGCCCATCCAACCACGCACATCATCCCATCCGACTCGGACAATATACCTCCCCTTCAACGACTTGGCACCAGGAGTATCTACCGAGTCGCTCTCCCCATCCTTGAGCAGAGATCCATATCCGAATCGGAGGTTGGCCTCGACACCACGGGACTCTCCATTAGGAGGGGTGACATATCCTGATTCATCATTGGATCCTACAGCCTCTTCGTTTCCACGCACGAGTCCTTCGTAGCCTTCTCGGACAATGTACGTTTCGCAGCCCCTATACATTCCATCAGTTTTTGAATACCCATCCGATTCCAACGGGGGCGGGGGGAGATAAAGATAAATGGTTCAAAATAGAAAGATCTAGTGAGAAGGAGGGTATACCTGACAATGGCTTGCTTGACCACTGCACGGACGGCTGCATTCATCCCAGCACTATCGCCTCCAGACGTGAGTACAGCGACGCGCAGCTGCCTCTGCTGGTGTTGAGGTTGAGGAAAAGGAGCTTCCTTGGACATTCTATCTTCCCTATGCGGTTGGATATGTAGGACAAAGTCGAGGTAAGAAAAAGGCCAAAAGGTTACTTTGTTGTCATTACGCCGGCCCCAAGCTGGAGTGAATTATATTGGCGCGCTTGGACTTGCTTGGCCGCTTTTTCTCTGCGCACATTCGTTGTGTGAGGTCGATAGGTCTCGATTGGCTCGGCTATTGCGATAGCGAGACAGGACCTCGCTCGCGAACCTCTTTTTGCATGAAAAGATAGAGCCGACGGCACTCTTTGGAATGGTTAATAAGGTCTAATTGGTATATATATTAAATTATACTCATTATTATACGTCCTGTTCCGTCTCTGGGACTCACTGCTACGCGAAACTCGACCCTATAGTGTAATTTTGAATCCAAAAATGATATCAACTACTTCTGACTACGATATTTTCTGAAAGTGCGGGAAAGTAGTGTCGCAAGACTCGATAAAGGATTGTTATGGAAAGGTAAGTCATTATTAACGATGAATAACACCACTTGCAAGCTTTGAGAAAGACATTTATTGAGGAAATGTATCAACGATAAAGTACTGCCCGTCGCCCAGTCCACTTTCGACACTCGCTTTGTGTCGCTGCTTGGATCCACCGGCCCCAATACCGGGAACCTTCTCGATGATTTACACGCTTGTTATGGAACTCCACGCTCAAAGAGGTGTTCAGAAGATCAATCTGTCCGGTGATTCACAGAGTTCGTTGGGCCATGACGGATACATGACGTAGCCAGTCGGAGCTCGACCTCTCGCAGACTATAAAAACCAGTTGGTCAGGTTAACCATCGACTACATCATTCGACTCTTTCTACACCTCTACTACTCTTTCACAAACAAAACTCTCAAACAACTCGATCATGTACCGCGCTGCTGTTGCAAGAGCTTCTCGCTCCCTCGTCGTTCCATCTCGCACACTTCACTCGTCACCGCTAGCATTCAAAACTGCTACAGACAAGGCAAAGGATGTTGCTCATGATGTACGTCGTGTTTGCATTACCCCCCACTACCACACCCCTCGCATAATACATCCATTTACCATTTCTAACTTCTTATGGCACAGGTGAATATGAAGGTCGGACAAGGCCTAGCATCAGCTATCGAAAAGGGTGAACAGGTCACCGACAAGGCCAAGGAGGTTGCAGGTGCCACCACTAAAGACGCAAAGGCAAAGGCAGAGCAGGCGACAGCACAGGCAAAGCAAAAGGGTAACCAGGTGAGTGACCATTCCTTTCTCCATCTACTTTCATTGTCATACTCTGTTACTGATGTTGTATGCAGGCTGCCGCAGGTGCCTATGAAGCCAAGGAGGACTTTAAAAAGGAGATGAAGAAATAGAATAACCCTTTGCAGACCATTGTACTATATATCACTTCCACAGCGGCACTTTTCAACTAAATGTATCCATAATTGTCACAACCAAAACACAATCTGGCAAATGCCGACTAAATCTCACGCGAGTAAGCGGGAGGGATTGAAAATGCTTGATTTTCATCGAGATCAAAAGGTGAGTGAATAATATTTTACATTGGATAGCAAATTAGGAGAACACAACAATGAGGGACGGAGAGGGGTGGTTAGAGGTGTTTGCAATGGTACACGAACAAGATGGAGGGTGAGGGGGGAAAATAACAAGAAGTCGACACACACATGCACAATCAGCAAGAAAGAAGAGAGAAAAGAACAACACGGAATTCATGGCACAACCGAGTCCCCATCAGAATTTACACATTCAAAAAAACGAAAACAGCTTGGGGTCATCAACTCGTGGTGGCATCTGCTGTAATATCGTGCCACCACTGGATCATGGACAGATCGTGAACGAGCCTAAATTTGCACCAAGAGGACAAGTCTGCGAAGCCTGTCGCAATTATCTCCTTTCATCCATTTCTTGGGGGGGGGGGGGGTAACTTCACTCAAAAAAGGCGTTATGCGAGGCATAACTCCTTAATTCAGATCATTCACCCTCTCACTGGATGTATTTCTCATTCAGCACGTGGACTTCACGTGCCAAATAAGGCCAC